TTGATTGGATTGAATTACATGGTGAATACTTTGCTTTTCTTTAAAAGACATTATCTGAAAAAGAGGCAGAAACCAGAAATCTGCAGGAACAAACTGTGCAGCTTCAGTCTGAGCTTTCACGACTTCGTCAGGATCTTCAAGATAGAACCACACAAGAGGAGCAGCTCCGACAGCAGATAACTGAAAAGGAAGAAAAAACAAGAAAGGCCATAGTAGCAGCAAAGTCAAAGATTGCACATTTAGCTGGTAAATTTCTGTATATGCTAAAGTTTGAACTTTGATAGTGAAAGTTGGCTATTTGATGCAGGCTTAAAATTAAATGGGAAAGAAATAAGTAAATACTATAAAGTGATTTCTGTGTGTGTGCTTTAAATATTAGGGTGGGATGCCTGGGTGGCTTAGTTGGTTGAGCGACTCTTGATCTCGGCTCAGCTCTTGATCTCACAATTGTGAGTTCAAGCCCTGTATTGGGCTCCACACTGGGCGTGGAGCCTACTTAAAATATATATATAAGGCTTATTTAATTAGACACAAAATTAAAGCAGTCTGAATTTTCAAATGATGAGGATGTCTCTCATCTATTTATGAAGTCTTTCCTAATTGTTGGTTAGTAATAGGAAGTACTGCTGTCCTGCTTTGTTGTATAACTGTTAGTACCTTCTGTTGGTGATCCTTTGGGTCTACAGTGTGTTGTTCAGAGGCCTACTGTAAACTCCTACATATCATTGGATATTACCAGCCCAGTGATTTTTATTTGCCTCAGTTCTCTGAGGGGCCCTCAAGCCCTTCAGGGAGAATATCATGCCCAGTTTGTTAAGGGCCCAGAGCTGCAATGTTCTGGACCTTACTGCACCTTGCTTGCTGTTCTGCTTAGTGAGTAGGTAAATAAAATGCCCAATCAGCTAGGTTTTATTGTAAGCAATTTTTAATGATCTGTAATACAGTGTTTCAGCAATTTCATTAAAAAAAAAGTTACCTAATTATTTTTTAGTATGTGCTTTAGATTATATGGAATGAAAATTTGGCAGTTTTGGCAATTTATAATATCTTTGTATTTTTAATAATATATTGAAATACTAAAGGCCATGTAAAAGGACTTCAGACTGCAGTTTATGGATGTCCTTTATGAAATCTTAGAGAAATTTACATATTTTTATGTTGTAGTAATAAGTACATTTTATATTGGAGTAATACAGATATATTTAGAATTTTGCTTATTCAGATATATTGTGTATCAGGATTAATTGTAGATACTAAAGCTCAGGAATAGAATCTGATAACGACCTTAGTGTACCTATTGAAATGCACAAATGTTCTTTATATTCCAGTGTTTGATTATAATATTAATAGAATCACATGGTTACTTCTTTAGGTGTAAAAGATCAGCTAACTAAAGAAAATGAGGAGCTTAAACAAAGGAATGGAGCCTTAGATCAGCAGAAAGATGAATTGGATGTTCGAATGACTGCTCTTAAATCCCAGTATGAAGGTCGAATTAGTCGCTTGGAAAGAGAACTCCGAGAGCATCAAGAGAGACACCTTGAGCAGAGAGATGAGCCTCAAGAACCTACTAATAAGGTGGTCAGCTAATTCTGTGTGTAGATAACAAATCATTCTGTCCTTGTACATATTACTTGAAGGTATCTGGTGACTTAGAAGCCTTTGTCAGTGAATTGGCTAAACACAGTATACAGAGAGAATTAATAAAAGTAAAATATTTTGATAGCATTGTTTAGTGACTTTTGTAGGTCAGGCAAAGTAATCCATAGTTTTCTTTTTAATAGGTCCCAGAACAGCAGAGACAGATCACATTGAAAACAACTCCAGCTTCTGGTGAAAGAGGAATGTGAGTTTTAGTTCTTTTACAGTTTATTAATCTATTTTTTCTTTTAAAGTCAGGCAAGAGTTAGTGATCTTTGGGGAGAAAACAAATCTATGTTATAAAAATATGTACTAAAGAGCTGTTTATCTGTGCAAAGCTTCACCATGTAGTTGCCAACCCTTTTTTCCAGAACTCTTGTTTCTAGCATACTTTCAGTCCTATCAGGTAGAGCTTTGTGACAAAAATCAAGGTATCTTTCATCTTTTCGACTTCTAAGAGGCTACTGATTTTCTCTGTGATATTATGTGATAACAAATTTAAGAGGCTAGGCTAAGACTTGAGTTCAGTGATCAACAGTTGAATACATTTTACATTGTCAGGAAGCACCATTACAGAGCATTTCTTACGTAGTTTTTAATGCTTAAATTCAAAACTTCTTCAATAAGAGTTTTAAAACATTTAGTGAACGAAAAATAAAGAACTATATAATTTTTTTTTTTACTTTGTCTAAAGTACCCAAAGCAGCGTTTGGAAAAATAGAATTAATAGGGTCTGAGTTCATAAGTCGATCATACTTGCTGAACACTTATTGAAGAAACACGTGGTACATTTTTTTTAAGTTTTATTGAGATATATTAATAACCCCCACAATTTACCTACTTAAAGAGTACAACTCACTGTTTTTGGGTTTTTTTATTTATTTTTTTAATTCCAGTATAATTAAAATACAGCATCATATTAAAATGTTTTAGGTGTACAATATAGTGATTCAGTGATACTATATGTTACTTAGTTGCTCATCACAATTAGTGTACCTTTTTTTTTTAAGACTTATTCAGCGTCATGATCAAACTATTACATTCAGCAATCAACAGCATGGGTGCAAAAAAAAAAAAATCTACATCAAAACTCTTTGTTGGAATGCTTTACACTTTCCACAGAATAGAAACTAAAATAACCTGTTATACAACTAGTCACAAATACAGTCCTCGAGTTTTTTGCCCATACACATGAGTATTGTCTAAAACATGTCTTCTTTGTAGCAGCTAGGCCCTGCCACCACTGTGCTTGGCCGAGTTCACAAATGTTTTGTAACCTGTAGCTTCCCTGTCACTTCTCTGGCTCTCCCCTCCTGCTAAGCCTTGTTGCCTGGCAGTAATTAAAACCTTCTGCCGCTGCCGTAGCTACTGCTGCTGCTGGAGCCACCATAGCCACCTTGGTTTTGTGGTTTGGCAAAGTATTGGTGCCTACCACCATAGGGGCCAGAGCTTCTGCCTCCAAAATTTCCTCCTTTCATGGGTCCAAAATTTGAGGATTGATTGTTGTAATTGCCAAAATCATTATAGTTTCTGCCACCTCCAAAGTTGCTTCCATCATTACCAAATCCACCATATCCACTACCACCTCGACTGCCACCAAAGCCACCTTGACGACTGAAGTTCCCTCCACGACCAAAGTTGTCATTCCCACCAAAACCACCTCCATGACCACCACCAAAGTTTCCAGAACAACTTTGACCTCTTTGGTTGGATGAAGCACTAGCCATCTCTTGCTTAGATAGGGCTTTCCTTACTTCACAGTTGTGGCCATTCACAGTATGGTATTTTTGAATGACAGTCTTGTCTACAGAGTCATGGTCATCAAATGTTGCAAAAGCAAAACCTCTCTTTTTGCCACTGCCTCCATCAGTCATGATCTCGATCACTTCAGTTTTCCCATATTGTTCATAATAATCTTTTAGATGATGTTCTTCAGTGTCTTCTTTAATGCACACCAACAAAAATCTTTTTCACAGTTAAGTGGGCACCAGGTCTTTGAGAATCTTCTCTTGAGACAGCCCTCTTCGTTCTTTTATTTTTTTTTTTTAAGATTTTATTTATTCATTTGACAGAGAGATAGTGAGAGAGGGAACACAAGCAGGGGGAGTGGGAGAAGGAGCAGCAGGCTTCCCGCAGAGCAGGGAGCCCGATGCGGGGCTTGATCCCAGGATCCTGGGATCATGACCTGTGCTGAAGGCAGACTTCTAACGACTGAGCCACCCAGGCACCCCCCGCCCTCTTTGGTTCCACAACTCTTCCATCCACCATCCACCTTGTGTGGCCTTGCATTCATGCTGCATCCACCTCCTCCACAGTGGCATACGTGACAAACCCAAAGCCTCTGGAGCACTTGGTGTTTGGATCTCTCATTACCACACAGTCCGTAAACGTTCCCCATTGCTCAGAATGGCTCCTCAGACGCTCATCGGTTGTTTCCAAAGTTCAGACCTCCAATGAAGAGCTTCCACAGCTGTTTAGGCTCTTTGGGAGACTCCGACTTAGACATGACAGCAGTGGGAGGGGAGACTTTAACGATGCTTACTCGGCGACGTCCATAGGCAGAAAGGCACAATTACAATTAGTGTACTCTTAATCTCCTTCAGCTGTTTCATCCCCTTCCCCCACCTCCCCTGTGGTAACCACCAGTTTGTTCTCTATATTTCAGAGTCTGTTTTTTGTCTTTTTTTTCTGTTTTGTTCCTTAAATTCCACATATAAGTGAAATCATACGGTATTTATCTTTCTCTGACTTATTTCCCTTACCCTCTAAATCCATCCATGTTGCAAATGGTAAGATTTCAGTCTTTTTATGACTAATATTCCATTGTGTATATATACCATATTTTCTTTATCCATTCATCTATTGATGGACACTTGGGCTGCTTCCATTGTTTGGCTAATGTCAGTAATGCTGCAGTAAACACAAGGGTGCATATATTCTTTCAAATTAGTGTTTTTGTATTCTTTGTGTAAATACCCAGTAGTGGAATTACTGGATCATATGTTAATTCTATTTTTAATTTTTTAAGGACCCTCCATACTATTTTCCAGAGTGGCTGCATGAATTTACGTTCCCATCCACAGTGCACAAGGCTCCCTTTTCTCCACATCCTTGCCAACACTTGTTATTTTTTGCCTTTTTAATACTAGCCCTCAGAATCATATGTGGTGATATCTCATTGTGGTTTTGATTTCCATTTCCCTGGTGATTAGTGATGTTGAGCATTTTTTCATGTGTCTGTTAACCATCTGTATTTTTTTTTTTTTTGGAGAAACGTCTCTTCATGTCTTCTGCCCATTTTTTAATTAGATTATTTGGGGTTTTTTGGTGTTGAATTGTGTGAATTTTTTTTTTTGCATGAATTCTTTATATAATTTGTATGTTAACTCATCAGATACATCATTTACTAATATCTTCTCCCATTCAGTATGGCGTCTTTTTCTTTTGTTGCTTGTTTCCTTTGCTGTGTAGAAGCTTTTTATTTTGCTATAGTCCCAATTGTTTACTTTTGTTTTCCTTGCCTCGGGAGACGTAATCTAGAAAAACGTTGCTATAGCCAGTGTCAGAGAAATTACCGCCTGTGCTCTTCTTCTAGGCTTTTTCTGGTTCCAGGTCTCATATTTAGGTCTTTAATCCATTTTGAGTTTATTTTTGTGTATGGTAAGAATGTGGTCCACTTTCATTCTTTTGCATGTAGCTGTCCAGTTTTCCCAACACCATTTACTGAAGAAACTTCCCATTGTTTATTCTTGCTTCTTTTGTTACAGATTAATTGACCATGTAATCATGGGTCTATTTCTGGGCTCTCTATTCTGTTCCATTGATCTTGTGTCTATTTGTGTGCTGGTACCGTACTGTTTTGATTACTATAGTATATCTTGAAATCTGGGATTGCAATACCTCCAATTTTATTCTTTTTTAAGATTATGTGGTGCTTTTTTTTTTGATAGAGTATATGTACTTTATAAGGGATATTTATAGTAATTTTTTATGAATCGTTATTCTTGCATTTTCCCCTCTGTAAGTGCCAGCACATCAGACCCACCAACAGCTAATATCAAGCCAACTCCTGTTGTGTCTACTCCAAGTAAAGTGACAGCTGCAGCTATGGCTGGGAATAAGTCAACACCCAGGGCTAGTATACGCCCAATGGTCACACCCGCAACGGTTACAAATCCTACTACTACCCCAACAGCTACAGTGATGCCCACTACACAAGTAGAATCACAGGAAGGTAAGTAAAATAGTAACAGATCTGACTGGACTGACGGTTTATTTAGATTTATTATGAGAAGATTACAGTAACTTCAAGGATAAATGAGGCTTCCCCTAAAGCTAAAGTCAAACATATAATAGAAGTGGGTAGTTAATATTTTCAAGGGTGTGCCTCCTAGGATACTCATTAATGCAGCGCATTTCCTCCCTCCTTCATTCCCTTCCTTTCTGCTTTGTTTTGTTTTGAAGCTGAAGAAGGAGGAAAATAACACACCTATAAGTATGTAGCATGTTTTTTAAGGCCAACATTTTTACTTTTGGTGGCTAGGAAGATGATATGAAATCCACCTTGGAAAACCATACTAAATCACTGGTTCAATCTGACACCACTTATTCACTGAAACTGTCTTTTTCATTACTTTATCCACTTTGTTCCCCTGGGTAGCTTCTTATTACTGATGCTTAATAAAAATTTATAATTTGTCTTTGAGCTTCCTCGGTTCATTTATCTTACTTGGTTGTAATTTTAATAAAATCGTAGATAGAAAGAGTTTTAGATATTTATTTAATTATGCCACCGTACTACAGACTACCATAGCAGTCACATAGGCATCACCAAAAAATGTATAATACATTACATTTACCCATACTGTTTTTGCTTGGTGGTGGTAAGAGATGTACACAAATAACTATGCAGAACATTACCAGTAGCACAGTAGGGAGGGAAAATCCAGCTTTGCTAAGAATAAAAGACTTAATATATTAAGTATTTGTAATTATTTTTCAGCTATGCAGTCAGAAGGGCCTGTGGAACATGTTCCAGTTTTTGGAAGCACAAGTGGTTCTGTCCGTTCTACTAGTCCTAATATTCAGCCGACTATCCCTCAACCCATTTTAACTGTTCAGCAACAAACACAGGCTACAGCTTTTGTGCAGCCCACCCAACAGAGTCTTCCTCAGATTGAGCCTGCAAATCAAGAGCTGTCCCCCAACATAGTAGAAGTTGTACAGAGTTCGCCAGTTGAGCGGCCTTCTACTTCCACGGCAGTATTTGGCACTGGTAAGCTTGATTTTATTGATTTATTTTTAATTTTTTAATTTTTATTTTTTGGTATGCTTAATTTTAAAATGAAGTTAGAGTAGACCTGTACATTTGTAGTTTCTTGGATATAAAATACACATTTTGAGTATTCTTTGTACATACATGTTTTCTAACAGGTGTTAGAAAGGACGAATGGATTCCTAACACTTGATTTCATGTTTACTACTAGATCACTCGTTTTTGTCATTCAGAACTTTCTTCTCCTCCAGTTATTTTGACTGATTTTAAAAGTGATACAACCCCATAACATTATATGTAACTTAATACAGGTCTTGAGAAAAAAGACATGTAAGAGAAGACCATATAAGGATTTTCAAATCTAAACATACAGTATAAATTTTGTTACCATAGGAGTCCTGGGTTTTATAACTATAGAAGGCCTTATGTAAACTTCTCAATTCTGTATCACTACACACTGAATTGAATGCATTGCTGTAAAAGTTGATGGGGTTTATTAACCACAGGTGAGATTGATACCATAAGACCATTGATTTAGAGCATAGGTTGCCCTTTGTTTATAGATATTAGCAGGAATAAATTATGTTGAACTGTTCAGTTAAATGTTTCCTATGTCTTTCTTTAGTTAAATGGCCAAAATATTTCAAAAATTAACTTCATTTAAAAAAAATTAACTTTATTTCATTGAGTTCATTATCATCCTCTGATTAAAGATTTAAATTATGTCATTTCAAAGTGTCAGCTACCCCAAGTTCTTCTTTGCCTAAGCGGACACGTGAAGAGGAAGAGGATAGCACCATAGAAGCATCAGACCAAGTCTCTGATGACACAGTGGAAATGCCTCTTCCAAAGAAGCTGAAAAGTGTTACCCCTGTAGGAACTGAGGTAAGATAATCTTGCAGTTAGACAACATGATTAGGTGAATGGACCTGTTGGGGCCAGAATCCATTGCCTAAAAAACTCTTGTTGAACTTACTACAAAGTTTCAACTGACAGCTCAGGTATTGTTGCTGCTGCCAACATTTTTTTCTAATTCTTAGTATATCTTTGATTGAATTATTTGTCATTGCAGTAAAAAACAGTTATGGAGCACCTGGGTGGCTCAGTCGGTTAAGCATCCGACTCTTGATTCAGCTCAGGTCATGATCTTAGGGTCGTGAAATCGAGCCCTGCTTTGGGCTCTGTGCTGAGCGCAGAGCCTGCTGCTCTCCCTCTCTCCATCTGTCCCTTCTCCCCGACCCCCGTCTCTCTCTCTCTTAAAAAAAAAACAACAACAACAAAAGAAACCCACAGTTACAAAAACTTAAGTTGTATTCCATTTCAAAGTCAGGTGTTTTTTTAATTCAAAGAATAAAGAGTTTAAGTTTCATGGACATTGTAAACTGTTGTCTGCCATCTTTTTCTCAGATTAACCAAAACTATATTCCTTTATTTTCTTTCATTGAAGCTAAAATTGTATTGAATTTTTACTCTGAAACATTAAGACTACTCAATTAATTTAATTAGCATGTATTAGTGTTTGTAAGTCTTATTTATACTGAAGAGGAATGTGATTTATATCATATAAATGTAAGAACATTTATATTGTACTGCTTCATAAAATTATAGATTTAAGCTTTATTTTATTTGAGAGAATTAGCTGAGCAGGTGATTCTTCATCTAGTGAATTGATCTGGTTAACACACTTGTGTGTTATGATTCAGGAAGAAGTTATGGCAGAAGAAAGTACTGACGGAGAGGTAGAAACTCAAGTATACAACCAAGATTCTCAAGATTCCATTGGAGAAGTAAGTTTAAACATTTAAAGTAGCAAATTATTGCTTTTAGTGAGTGAAATTGGCTTTGACAAATGAAACATTATTTGGACTTTTATTTAACTTGATGCTTTTATATTTAATGAAATATTAGAATTACCATTGTTAATTTCTGCTTTGCTTTACTCCTAATTAGTATACTGCCTTATAAATTTTGTTAAAGAAATGTTTCTATGGGGTGCCTGGGTCACTCAGTCGGTTAGGCATCTGACTCTTGATTTCGGCTCAGGGCATGATCCTCAGGGTCATGAGAATTGAGCCCTGGGTCAGACTCTGTGCTCAGCATGGAGTCGGCTTGTCCCTCTCCCTGTGTCTCACACCCCCAAACCCCCCCCACCCCGTGCATGCATGTGTACACACAGTGTCTCTCTAGTAAGTAAATAAATAGAATCTTAAAAAAAAAAAAAAATTTTTTTTTTGTTCATACTTCGCACAGATTTTTGCAAGCAAAAGTTGTCATGGATAAAGATTATCCACTGTTTATTATTTGGAAGTATGAGTGCTGGCTGAATCTTGAGTTAATCCATAGTGCCCCTTTGGTGGTCCTCTGGTACTCTCCCCTCTCTTGCTTCTCTTATTGAATTAAAATAACCTATGAAAGGAAATGCATTTGTGTATTTTTTTTCATTTTCTGAACTCTAAGTGAGGCTTCTCCAGAGGCGGCCTCACTAGGGGAAATGTGTAGACTGTGAAGCTACAAACCATTAGGTTCCTTCCTGACTATACCACTTAGAAGCTATGTGACTATGGAAAGTCATTAATTCTCTCTAAGCTTTGGTCTTCTCATCTGTTGGAATAATATAACATGATTTTTAGTATTGTAAAGTACCTAAAATAGTACCTGCCACACATTAGGTACTCAAAATATTATTTACTTTTCTTCCATCTGCTCTGCCATGCTAATTGAGAATTCATAATATAGTAATATTAATAATTTACTACTAATAAACACAATTCATTACTATGTATGTCAAGTGTTCTAAGAAGTTAGCATTTATTAACAAACTTAATCCTTAACGGCCCTATTGTATGGGTGAAGAAACTGATAGTCAGATTAAGTAACATACCCATGTTCTGATAGCGTTGGAGCTGGGACTTGAACTCAGGCTGTCTAGTTTCCAGTTATACTCTTCAGCTTGAAAGAGTTTTTGTCTGAATAAATTTTCAGGATCATTTATTCTAAAATTATCTATATAAAATTAAGTAATTATCTCAAGCTAATTAAAAGCAACCATAGATTGCAGGTGAATTTTGGTTTCTTAGATGCATTAATTTTTAATTTTCCCTATTTTCCTTGACTAATAACAGAAAACTAAATGTTAAAGATGAATGCATAGTATTCTAAATGATCTCTATTTCATGTATCTTTCAGTGTCATCTCTGAAGAGCGTAGTAACAGTTTTGAAACAATATGTGAATTTCTAAATTATTGCCAGACTTGGTTAACTTATACTAAAATCTTCTGTGCAAAGCTTTTTCTTGAGATTGGCAAAATTGTCTATGACTCAGAAGTACCATTTGGTTTCCAGTCCACTTTTAGCACTATCCTACTGTAACAGTTCGTTTTTCTGATTTTCTGACGATGAAGCAGATGTTCTTTATAAGTGTTTGCTTTTCTTGAAATAAGCATGTCACTTTGAAGCCCATTTTTAATTATATCATGAATTATTTCCATTACAGCAAATATAATCTTTATGAATGAGTTCACAAGACATTTTTTCAGGCTTGTATAAAAAGTAGATTGCCACGTGCTTAACTAAAAAGTAGACATTTAATTTTCTTAGAGTAACAAAAGTAAAGTTTTAAATTACAGTTTATTTCGGTAGCTAACAAGATGGAATTGTGAGGATGAATTAAGCAAAGAATTATTTTTGTTTCTGATGTCTTTAATGTGGTTTGAAGGCTTAGAATAATGAGTTTCTAGGAGGAGAGGTGCCTTTGTAAAATGACAATAATAATAGCTTATTTTGTTTAGGGTGTTTCCTAGACTATTTCTGGTTTGGGGAGTAAACTTTTTTAATAATAGTATTAATATTATAATAGTAATATTCTTTTTTCTGACTTTGTTTGCAACTACACTGTTCACCACATTGGCTGTTGAACACTTCAAATATAGCTAGTCTGAATTGAGATAGCTGTGAGTATAAAATATACATTGGGCTTTAAAGACTTATTACAAATTTTAAAAGGTAGAATTTCTGATTAGTAATTCTTAGTTTGATAACTTATTGAAATATTTTGTATATATTAATATCATTAAGCTAATTTTACTTGTTTACTTTTTTTAATTTTAAGTGACTACTAGAAAAATTAAAATTATGTATGTGACTGACATTGTGGATAACAATATATTTCTCTTGAACAACACTGATCTACAATATCACACTGGTAGTTTTGAATATACATATATTTGTATATGTGCATTTTTTTCTTTTTTAGTGGAATATTAGCCAATGAGGTTTTTAATAATTCTTCTATAGGAAGACAGTAAAGAAACCCAATGATATATTTTCTTTAGCATGTGCTTCAAATTAATTCTGCTCTTTTTTTTTTTAAGATTTTTTATTTAGGGAACCTGGGTGGCTCAGTTGGTTAAGCAACTGCTTTCGGCCCAGGTCATGATCCTGGAGTCCCGGGATCGAGTCCCACATCAGGCTCCCTGCTTGGCGGGGAGTCTGCTTCTCCCTCTGACCCTCTTCCCTCTCGTGCTCTCTATCTCTCATTCTCTCTCTCTCAAATAAATAAATAAAATCTTAAAAAAAAAAAAAAGATTTTTTATTTATTTGTTTTTAGAAAGAGCATGTGAGTGAGGGGAGGGTTGAGGGAGAGGGGGAAGGAATCTCAAGCTGACTCTGCTGAGTGTGGAGCCCAAGGTAGGGCTTGATGCTGGGTCAATCTCATGACCCTGAGATTATGACCTGAGGTGAAATCAAGAGTTGGCCGCTTAACCAACTAAGCCACCCAGGTGCCTCAAATTAATTCTATCATTCTTTTTTTTTATTTTTTTAAAAGATTTTATTTATTTACTTCAGAGAGAGAGCATGAGTGGGGGGAGGGGCAGAGAGAGAGAGAAACAGACCCCCTCTGAGCAGGGAGCCCAACGTGGGGCTCAATCCCAGGACACCGGGACCATGAGCTGAGCCAAAGACACTCAATCGACTGAGCCACCCAGGCACCCTAATGCTGTTTTAATAACCATATTTTAAAAATAAAATGCTACTAGTCCACAAGTATTTTTTTGTATTAGGTATACGGTATCTTACTGATAGTTTTAGGTATATTTGACATTCTAAATTTTTTAAGTTTTCATTTTTTTACTCTTAAAGGGAGTTACCCAGGGAGATTATACTCCAATGGAAGACAGTGAGGAAACCTCTCAGTCTCTACAAATAGACCTTGGACCCCTTCAGTCAGATCAGCAGACAACAACTTCATCCCAAGATGGTCAGGGCAAAGGAGATGATGTCATTGTGATTGACAGTGATGATGAAGAAGAGGATGATGATGAAAATGATGGAGAACATGAGGTAAATCATCCATTGTTTGAAACTGCTGAATGAAATGCTCGAATCCTTATGACTGCTAATTCATCAACCAGTAACATCTGCTTCCCTGTCAGTTTAAATAGATTACTTTGCTTTTTTTATCTGAATAGTTCTGAAATTAACATTTTATAATGAAATTGAGCATAGAACAGGTAATGAAAAATCCATCTTTTTTTATTGCTAAGCCCTTTAGGACTTGCTAAATTTGTTAATTAAACTTAATTTTAAATCTTATTGATAAGAGACTGGATTTAATTATAAGCTCTGTCATTTCTGGAGATAAGAAAGTAGGGTATTTATTTTTTTCTTGTATAGTCCCATAATTTTTTTCAAAAATAGTGGAGGTTTTTTGCTAATTGAAGCATATTTTAAGTGAAACTATATTTTATTTTGGGAATTAATCCTATATAGACAACCACTCATTTTAGATCCTTTCATTAATCAATGTTTTTTAAAAGCTCATAGTGTAGTATAATCTCATGATTTGTTTTCTTCAATGCCACCCTTTAAATTTAGAAATAAAGTGGCTTCTGACACCTTATGGACATCTAGGAGCTTTGATCTTTGAACTGATCTCATATGAACAGTTAGAATACAGAACTGATTATTGTTTACTCATTCCAGTAAGCCTCACAATTTTGATATTTGCTGCCACTGAACTAATTCCGTACAACTCTCAGGACAGCTCCTATGTCCTGATCAGTGGTGTGTCACATTGAAATGTTTAAATATGCTATCAAGAAGTGCAGAATATGTGTGCTGCACCTTAGATCTTTGTTTTTACTTGGGCACTTGTCTACTAGGATTATGAGGAAGATGAGGAAGATGATGACGATGATGAAGATGACACAGGGATGGGAGATGAGGGTGAGGACAGTAACGAAGGCACTGGTAGTGCCGATGGCAATGATGGATATGAAGCTGATGATGCTGAGGTAACTGGCTAGAATTTTGACCATCCACTTTCTTCAAGAACTTGCTAGAAAACATACTGTTTTCCAAGGATATTCACAGGCCTGTATTCTCAGAATACTGAAACTTTTTATACCATTGGGGTTTTTTGTTTGTTGTTACTGTGATTTAGTTTGGTTATTATGTTTTAAGATAATTGTTTGGTTTATTTGCTCTTAGTCATCATATTTTGTTTATAGGGTGGTGATGGGACTGATCCAGGTACAGAAACAGAAGAAAGTATGGGTGGAGGTGAAAGTAATCAGAGAGCTGCTGATTCTCAAAACAGTGGTGAGACCTTCCTTCGTCTCTTTTTAATTCAATACTTTTAGTAATATCTTCTAAACTAGGATTGCATTTAATTATCATGTAGGAAATAAAACTTTAGTGAATTGGCAAGCAGGAGATTGGCTTCTTTCTAGCTTTGTTACTATTCTCTTATAAAGTCTACTATATTTATCACTCTGAAGTCATACTGTCTTTTCTAATACACCAGGCTTCTTTAAGATTCCAGCATTCTGAAATCTGTAAAGTATTACAAATACAATGTGTTGCTGCTATTTTTATTAAGTGGAAAAGTTAAATCAGGGACCTCTAACAGCAGTCTTAGCAGTTCACAGCCACAAGAGGTTGTCTAAATCAAGCCCCACATTTGAAGGTTTGTGGGTATTGGAGCTTTACTGGTTGACTGGTTTTCCATTGAATAAAAGATATTTTGGTCATTGTGGCATACTTTTTGTTAAATATTTGAAAAGCTGAGTCCAGACCTCACTGAAATGAAGGTATTAAAGGATTATGGAAATATAGAAAATAATTTTATTTTAGAATCCTTTTTAAATGCGTTTTAAGGAATTGGTGATCATCTGATATATTATTCTGATTTTACAGATAATATTGAGCTAAAATCGTAAATGGTAATATAGTAAAACCTTATGTAGTTAGACTATTGGGAAAACAGTGTGTCTGAGTTTCCATATAAGCCTGTGTATTTAAAAATGCAATATATATGCTCATTTGAATTAAGATAAAGCAAGGGCATAAGCAACCTTTCAACTTTTAAATTTTTTTTTATAAGCAATATGAATTTATTTTTTTGGAAACAAAACCCCCCAAATAATGCCTGAATCCAAAAGGTACATAAAAATGGCCAAAAATATTTTAAAATAATAGATTTGAAGATCATTTGTAGCTTTTTCCTCATAACATGAATGCTTTCATCAGGACAGTAAATTATAAACCATATCAAATCATGTTATGACAGATGATCAGTCTGGTTGCATTTGTACTATTCCTGGGAAAGTAATCGTGTTGAAGCTGTTTCTCCCAGCTATTTGGTCAGTTGGTCCAGGAAAGGGCAGTCCTGGAGTCAGCAGGTGGGGAGCTGGGCCTTGCCTGTCTTGTCACTGCTCGTTCTGCTGGCCCTTTGTGACAGAAGCAGACACAGAACCCTGGCCCTTGTTGACATCACTGATGCACACCCACTGCCCATCAACGGACTCCTTCCACAGGGTCACCTTACTGTCTCCGCCTGAGACAGCCAGGATGTTGGCTGTGATGGACCAGCTCACATGCCACACAACATCATTGAACTTGTGCAATAGTTTGGGTGACCACGTATTGCCTGAGGTGTCATCACAAGTCCAGATGAACACACAACCGCCTTGGGAGCAACTGGCGATGGTGCTGGTGGGCAGGCCGATGGAGGGGGCCCAGGCCACATCTCGAACCCGGTCACTGTGTGCTTCTAGCTTCTGTTCCTCCTTCCACTGGCCGTCCTCCTCCTCCTTCCACAGTTTGATGAGGTTGTCACAGACGCCCAATGCAAACTTCTTGATGTAGTTGGGCTTCTGCCCCGATGGCTGGTCTATGAGGCTTCCAGGTACAACAGCAGGGGCCCAACTGACAGCATTGCAGCCAATAGTGTGAGCATTGTTGATCTTCTTCACTTCCCATTGGCCCTGTCCGTTGTGTGTCAGCAGGAAGATGGCCCCATCCAAGCTCCCACAGGCCAGTATTAGGCCATAGTCATGGGGGGCCCAGCACACAGAGTTTACTGAGGAGTTGTGTCCTATGTGCTCGTGCGTCTTCTCCCGGGTGCCATTCTCCTCCTTCCAGGTAATGACTTTCCAGTCATAGAAGCAGGATGCCAGGATGTTGCCATACATGGGGTGGGCCCAGGCCACTTGCCACACAGGACCCTCATGACCCCTGAGGTCGGCAATGAGGATCTGTCCTCCATTTCACACATTGAAGATTTTGGCAGAGCTGTCTGATGAACAGGTTGCTAGGCGGGTGCCATAATAGTCCGTCTGGGCATTGTGAATCATGTCCTCATGGGAGGTGTCCACAGGTCCCCCCAACCCACTGACACCATGGCTGCGATGGCAGCAGCTCCCAGTCCTGGATGCAGCAGCTCCGGCGGCAGCCCCCTCAACTTTTAAATTTTTTAAGAAAAAATAATAATCCATATACTAAAAAATAGTACTACCTCCTAAGGGACATAAGGAGAGAGATTAATGATACTTTGGTCCATAATGTACATTTTATAAAACATTTTGTAGATTTAAGAAACATCTTGTGTGTGTCATATAGTTGGGATACAGGAGGAAGTATTTTTTGCCTCTTTAGGGCTAACGTTCATAGCCATTTTTCCCAGATACAAAGTATACAATAGATGCTCATTGGAGACTTTGTTTTTTACAGTCAAGCAAAAATAGGCCTAGTGATCTGGATATAATTAAGTTAGCGGATGGATTTGGTATATTGCCAGAAAATTACAAAAAGAATGCTTTTCCTGAGCAACTGTACTTGTATTAAATTACAGTTGACCCTTGAGCAGTGCCAGGGTTAGGGATGTCAAACACCCTGCATAGTCAAAAATTTACATAGAACTTTTGACTTCCCAAAAACTTGACTACTAATAGCCAACTATTGACCCAGAAGCCTTACTGATACCATAAAACAGTCGATTAACATCTTTTTGTAGTGTATTGTACTGTAATTTTACAATAAAGGAAGCTAGAGAAAAGAAAATATTATTAAGACAATCATAAGGAGGAGAAAATACATTTATAGTGCTGCACTGTAAAAAATCTCCTGAAAGTGAACCTGTGCTGTTCAAAACTTACAACAAGCTTATCAGTTTAGGTACCAGTTAATATCTAATCTGAGAGGGGGTGCCTGGCTGGCTCATTCAGTAGAGCATGTGACTCTTGATCTCCAAGTCTTGAATTTAAGCCCTGTGTTGGGCGTAGAGTTTGCTTAAAAAAAAAAAAAGGCCTGGGTGGCTCAGTTGGTTAAGCGACTGCCTTCAGCTTAGGTCATGATCCTGGAGTCCCAGGATCGAGTCCCGCATTGGGCTCCCTGCTCAGCGGAGAGTCTGCTTCTCCCTCTGACCCTCCCCCCTCTCATGCTCTATCTCATTCTCTCTCTCTCAAATACATAAATAAATAAATAAATAAGTAATCTAAAAAAAAAAAAAGGTCACATAGCTATTAAATGTTATAGCTAGAATCCGATTCCAGAACTCAGACTTTTTTTTCCCCAGACCTCAGACTTGTAAAACCGCTAAATTCTGATAGCCTACTTTCACAGGGAGAGACAGCTTCTGTTGTTTCTACCATGTATGTAGAAGACCTAGACAGGTGAAGAACCATTGAAATTCAAAGTTTAAGAAATCCGAAATATAAAAGTATCTTTTAGTTGGTTCCATTAACCAACCTAAGAAATAGACTCAAAGAGGTTAGGGGACTTGTCTTAGGCCACACAGCTGATAATCGCACTCCCATTCTCCACACCTCACTTCTTTCCTTCTGAAAGTATTGGTGAGGTGAACATTCCTAGTGGTGAGATTTATACCTCTAGGAAATTGTCCCAGTTATTCTCTGGTAAATTTAATAGTTAAAAATCAGCTTTTCTCTTCCTATAGGTGAAGGTAGTACAGCTACTGCAGAGTCCTCTTTCTCCCAGGACATTTCTAGAGAACAGCAGCCATCATCAGCATCTGAAAGACAGACTCCTCGAGCGCCTCAGTCTCCAAGACGCCCCCCACACCCTCTTCCCCCACGACTGACCATTCATGCTCCACCTCAAGAATTGGGACCACCTGTTCAGGTAGTAAAAGTACTGGTCAGTCTGAAAACTCTTGGCTTTATCTCTCCTTCTCTCCATTAGATACTACTTTTTCCAGAAATTAAGTGAACTTTTTAATGTTTTAGCCTGTTTTTATAAAGTTTTTTGAACTGAAATGAATCTCTTTTCCTTGAAATATGGCAGTAGTTTACTTCATAAATAAAGTGAACTTTGGAAAGGCAAGGCTTACTAAAAGTTGTGTATAAATTGAAATGGTTACAATTCTGGCAAATAAAGATCACTTTTTCTACAGATTAAAAAAAAGTGTCTTGGATTTTAATTAAAGTAAATTTTATTTTAGCAGCTAACCACCACCAGCACCATGTATTTTAAAGGTTTCCTTCTCTAAGGTGCATGTGTGTGTGTGTTGTTGGTTTGTTTGTTTTTTTTTTCAAAAAAATTTCTGTTCTGCTTGAGACTTTTTTTTCAATAATACATCTTAATTTCCCCTTTTATAATTAATGAAAGGATGCATGACCCTTAACATGTAGCACTCTTTGTAATAGAGTTGGATATCTCTTAATCAGAAACTCTTGCAGAGCAGGAAAACATCAAATGCTCTTAGTAATCTAGCTTGAGTCTTACCCTATAACATAGTGTACTGAAAACTGCCAAGTGAGATTCTACTAAAAATACAACAGATGAAAATAACCTCATTCTATAAAAATATAAAGTCTTAATGGATTCTGCAAAATACATCAAATCTACCAATTTAGAATTGTCTAAATTGGGAAACAATTTATATGAAGACATATTGCTGTTTGAACTCCAAAAGAGAATTAAGCTTTAAGATCCAAAGGCATACTTACTAATGTTTTAGGTTAAGGAAATAGAAACTACATTAGTTACATACAAATAAAATAGGATCAGAGATTGGTTTTAAATATTGGTTAATATTTTATCTATTGGTTAATAAAATATTTGCTGGTTAATATAATCTATACAATTAAAAATTTATCACTATTTAAAACGGAATTCTTTAGTGCAATATGGCAAATTTTCCTGAGAAGATATCCTGATGGTTGTATTATCTGCTAACATTTCAGTTATCTTGTTACCATTGTAATAAGCTATATCTCTTGGTACTTAGTTCTTGTTTGATTGCCTGATTGTTGAAAACAAATGTAATTCCTTTCTTGACACAGAGAATTCAGATGACTCGGAGGCAGTCTGTTGGACGGGGGCTTCAGTTGACTCCAGGAATCGGTGGCATGGTAACTATCTACCCATTATGTAGAAGTGACTCATTTGTTCAGCAAATATGTATATAGTCCATATGTATGTTTCTGTCATACCTGTTTATTCCCCATTTTCTTTGTTTTAGCAGCAGCATTTTTTTGATGATGAGGATAGAACAGTTCCAAGTACTCCAACTCTTGTGGTGCCACATCGTACTGATGGATTTGCTGAAGCAATTCAGTAAGTTAATGAAAGAGAAACTTATTTTGTGACTAATCATTTTCTTCCTCTTTCCCTGTCAGTTTGTTTACATTTGGTGGATTCATTACTTGTTGAGTCCTCTGTTATGTACTAAGCACTTGTGATAGGGTTGAGGATATAGTTTGGGGAAAATTATATAAAGGTGAATGAAGGGGGTGGCGCCTGGGTGGCTTAGTGGGTTAAATGTCCAACTCTTGTTGGTTATGATCTCAGGGTCGTGAGATCGAGCCCCGTGTCAGGCTCCAAGCTCAGCCTGGAGCCTCCTTAGGATTCTCTCTCCCTCTCCTTCTGCCCCTCCACCTTTCCCCCTCCCCCCCCAAATCACACACTGTGCACTCTTTCTCTGTCTTAAAAAAAAAAAAAAAAGTGAATGAAATATATGAAATATAGTTGCTTCCATCAGGAATTTGAGATCTTAAAGGCAAAATAACGATGGTGAAGAACACAGACTGGGTGGCTTAGTCGGTTGAGTGTCTGCCTTCAGCTCAGGTCGAGCCCCACATTGGGCTCCCTGGCTAGTCTGCTTCTCCCTCTGCCCCTCCCCCCATGCTTGCACTCTCTCTCTCTCTCTCTCTCTCTCTCTCTCTATCTTAAATAAATAGTCTTTAAAAAGAAAGAAATACAAAGACTTCAGAGTCAGAATGCCCAGGTTTGAAATCTAGCTGTACTGCTTACTAGTATTTCAGGTTATTTAGGTTCTCTATTCCTGAGTATCCTCATTTTACTAATGGGAATAGTAAAATAATTCCTACCATATAAGTTGTGAGAATTAAGTGAACTGAATTTATGCTAATGTGTTTAGAATATTGCCTGGCACATAGTAAATGCTTGCAGATGTTAAAGTGTTGGTAATGACAGTGATCGTGATGGGATGGTATTATTTCGAAAGCCAAGTATATGAGGAACTAATTGTCACCTAAACAATCTAGAAGAATAAAAGCATAAGCAGTAGGCTTAATACAAAAGAAGTGATTTATTCCAGCAATTAGGGGGAAAGAATCTGAGACAGCTTAATGGAGACAGCATTGAATTGAGTCTTGGAAAAGAACACCTGACACTTAACATTTCTATGAATCAGTTTATTTGATCTTTCTAGCTATGAGAGAAGACACCATTATTGTTCCTATTTTACAGATAAGGAAGCACAGAGATGTTAACATATTTGTCAAACATCAGACAGCCAGAAAGTGGCAGTTTTTGGTTTCTAAACAGTCTGGCTCTAGAACCTATGTTAACTTGTGCTATACCACTACTCTTAAAGGACAAAAAAGATTTCCGTGTGAAGTATACATTTAATTGTGGCTGAAGTATTAGCTGCATAGCAGGATGTAATTGAATATCAGAATGAAAAAGTTTCCACAAACTTGGAAAAACATTGATTGTTCTGTAGCATGTGGTAAGATATAGCCAGCAATCAAAACCTTTTTTTTTAAGATTATTTATTGATTAATTGATTTGAGAGAGAGAGAGAGCACTTGCATGTGCGCATGTAGAAGCAGGGGGAGCAGGGAAAGGGCAGAGGAGAAGGGAGAAGAACAAGCAGACTCCATGCTGAGAACAGAGCCTGAGGCAAAGCTCAATCCCACGACCCTGAGGTCACGACCTGAGCCAAAACCAAGAGGCTGACACTCAACTGACAGCCACCCAGGCGCCCCTATCAAGACCTGTTTTAAACTTGTGCAGTTAACCATAACTCATCTTGATTAACACAGTTTTATAAGCCAACTAATCACTGTCTGTGCCTCCCTTCTGGAAGTCAGCCTGTCAGAAACAGACTCCAATAAACAGGTTCTGAGTGACAACCAGTCAACAGATTCTTGCATAGCTCAGAATGCAAGATTCTTCTGTAGTAGAGTAATTGTATGAAAATAAATTTTAAAATCCCCCCGAAAGAGAATGTCCTTAACTAAAGTAATAATGTTGATGTGGAAAAGAAAATGAAGAGTTTTATAGACATAAAATCTGTAAACATCAATGGCTGGCTAGTGAAGGAAGGTAGGGTCAGGAGTGGGCAAAGAGAGAGAATGCTGTTTTATATCCTGGAAGATGGATGATAGTGTTACTAGAACAAGGGAAAAACAAGTGTCTAGCCATCTAATACTAGAATTGTTCTAGACCTTGGGAGCCATCTTAGTGAGCTCTTTCAGATAGGAAATGGGCTAGAGGTGACTTGATTTATCTGACTCAGCAGTAAAAACTAAGACAAAATTTTGTCTTGTGACTTCATTCTCTTATTTTGTTACATCTCATTTTAGATTTGTGTTGTTTTTAGTGTATTTGCATGGAGATAGATATCCATCATATTCAGGAAATGTGAGGCATAGTTCAGGAGACCTGAAAGTTACATGTAAATTGTGTATGTATGAGTCATGTATAATATTAAATTCATTCACAGCTGATATTTTGAGAATATTATTATAAGGATTTCTGTAACAACTTTACTTCCAATCTGGTTTTTTTCTTGCTTTGTGATTATTCTTCCTTCTCCTATATTGTTTTCCATCATTGTGGTTTAAACAAGGTAACTTTAAAATTTATCTTAAGTTCATTTTTGTCTGTTTAGTTCCCCACAGGTTGCTGGTGTTCCTAGATTCCGGTTTGGGCCGCCTGAAGATATGCCACAAACAAGTTCAAGTCACTCTGATCTTGGCCAGCTTGCTTCTCAAGGAGGTAAATAGACAAATAAATGCTTAGATCTCCTGGGTTCACACATGTTCAGTAATAAGCTATTCTGATGTGATTTTTTTTTAAGTGAGCAAATACAAATATTTTTAAGTTGATATCTAATTCCTGTGCAAATTTATGGGAAAAGCTATGTTAAACATTGCTTTACATATAAATCTTACCTTTATGTTTAGTTTGATAACATTCCTAGTAAATAAACTAGTTAGATACTTTCCACTAACATTAAAATTAAGAAAGATAAAATATTTAAAGTATGTGGAATAAAATGACCCCTAAATTAAGTAATAGTAGTTGGTTGTTGAACATGAATTGTGCTCTTTGTGGAATTAATTACCTTTTAATCCCCAGTCAGCATCCATATAACTAAGTTTGTGAGAGGCTGTATGACATTTTGTGAGTAAGGACAGCATACTACTTTTATAATCTCAAAATAAAAGATTAATCTGCAGCCCTCATATAAGTCATATAATATACCTTTTATATAAATTTAAATTTTTATATGATTTTTTATTTTATAGGACAGTTTAGGCTTGCAAGACAGATCTAGGCTTAAATTGGAATGCTACCATTTACTAGCTTTGTAACTTTGGGAAAATTAACCCCCTAGAAATTCTATTTCTTTAGCAAAAAGGGGAAGAGTAATATCTTGTAGTTTTGGTGAGTAGATTCTACCATAGTACCTGGTTCATAGTTGGGTACTCAATAAAGTTGGCTTATATCAAACCATAAGAGCAGCATTTTAGATATTTTTTCAGAGGATACTGAATGTTTGTGAACTTAAAGTATGTGTTTCAATTATATTTATATTTTTGAACAATTGATTTTTGCCTGATGGGCTAATTAGTGGGCTTCAGCAAAGTTGTGTATCTCTACTGATTCATGTTTTTCTTTCAGATACCTGGCATATTGACAGTTCTGTGTTCTTTCCATCATCCATTAATATTTAGAATTGTCTTTAGGTTTAGGAATGTATGAAACACCCCTCTTCCTAGCTCATGAAGAAGAGTCAGGTGGCCGAAGTGTTCCCACTACCCCTCTACAAGTAGCAGCCCCGGGTAGGTATCACAGGCAGACTAATAGATTATGTGCTTTATTGGTAAAATGGAAAACTGTGTGACATCTTCTGGCTAAAAATTAGGTAAACCACCAAGTTAAAGTTTTCATTTCTTTTATTTTGAAGTGACCGTGTTTACTGAGAGTACCACCTCTGATGCTTCAGAGCATGCCTCTCAATCTGTTCCAATGGTAACAACATCCACTGGCACTTTATCCACAACAAATGAAACAGCAGCAGGTGATGATGGAGATGAAGTATTTGTGGAGGCAGAATCTGAAGGGTAAATATTTACTTTATAATTTCTGCTTGCTTTAGACTTTTACACTTGTTTTCCTTTAGCCAGGAAATAGTTTGTTGAGCTGTATTTTTAGTAGCATCCCATTACAAAAATAAAACAAGCCATACATTTTGGAAGACTAACTTTTGCACATAGTAATATATCTTAGAATTTGGATATTATTATAGCAGACAAGTAATTTCTTAAATGTTTATCTCCCTGAAAATTATATGATGTATTCTAGAAAAATGATTTATTTAAAATTACTGATAGCTTTCAATTCATGTAGTTGCTTGAACTTTCCCTAAGAAAGAAGTCATTCTGTGAAAATTAGGAAATGACTCACTTTCCATTTTGTAGTGGGCTCTCAAGTGAACTTCATTTATTCTTTATGTGCATTTAGAACTTGATGTCTGAAATACTGACTTCTTAAAAATTAGAAATTTTGTAGCAGTTTTTAAGACCTAGCTACATTTTAACACATCAGTTATAAACAAAGTTTAACAAAAGAAATATGACACAGCATCTGGATTTTTTTTTTTTTTTTAATGTCAAAGGAGTAATTTAATGCAAAGAACCCCTGGACAGTGGTCTTGGAGAAGTGTTTCTCTTTCAAGGCAGAACCTAATTCTTTACAATATAAAAAAGTTGGACTGCTTCAAAGAAGCATAGCTAGAAGTAGAACACAGATTTCCTAGGTGGAGCTCAAAGATTTTGTTGTATTGAGCAATATTTTCTTAGTGTAATTATAGACCAATTCTAGTATATGAGGAAAAAAGCAAGCCTACTATTATGCTCTAACACAGTGCTGCTTAATTTGGGGGAGATAACAAGATCCTGCTGAGAATACTAGCTGCCATTAATTTCATATCATGTATGCAAGTCACTTTAGATATGTCATTTCTAACCCACACAAAATCTCTACTATTTTCTCCATTTTACAGTGAGAAAGCTGAGACTCAGAACATGTTAAAGTAACTTGCTTAGGCCACTGGTAACTGGCTTAGACTGGATTTGACCTGTGACTTGAGCCCCATGCACTTTACCCTTCACTAGTACTTCTCTACTTGGGCAGGTAGTCATGAGAGAGATCTTTCAGATACATTGTTACTAATGACTGCACTGAAGTTTGCAGATGATAAAACTGGAGCAGATTCAACTTATTTTTGGGCTGTTTTCTCCCTTAATTGTGTTTTGATGTGCTTTATTGAATGGGAGAGAGAGTGTTGGAGTTACAGCCATTGAGCCAGGGAATTCACGTACCCGCAGCGTGTCTCATCTGGGCTAGAGCTCATGGTGAGTTAGTGGTACATTGTTTAGTTGGGACTTGTGAATTATTTTAGTAATCTGCCTTCCTAGAAAAGTGTTTTGAGATTTCAAAATCTGTATAGCATATCTCTTACAAATGTTTTCAAGAATGTGAACATCCTTTGCAGAAAAGAAAAAAAAATAACAGAGGGGAAATAAAAACTAAAGTTGGAACATGTGAGAAGAAGAATAAGGAAAAAGCAACTTGAGCTGTCTTTCCCCCAGCTCCTTTAAAAAAAATACACAGTTACCAATATCAAGAGTCTACAGTTTTGAGTTAGAGGGAAGTGCGGGGTTATTGAAGTGATAAACTATGTCAGAAAGAGTTTGGGAACAATTTAGGATACCTCAAGGACCAGTTTTGCATTTTCTTATCAATTTTTGTTTTCCTTTCTTAGTATTAGTTCAGAAGCAGGCCTAGAAATTGATAGCCAGCAGGAAGAAGAACCTGTTCAGGCATCTGATGAGTCAGATCTTCCATCTACCAGCCAGGATCCTCCATCCAGCTCTTCTGTAGGTAAGTTCCTGCTCTTGAGTACAACACAACTGATACACCAAACTTGTTTGCAAAAGATGATTTTATTGTAACAAATAGATCATTATTTTTCCCCCTTAATTAAAAATGGTTTATTTAAAAGGGAAATTGTATTTTATTAAAGGAAATGTAGTTTTAAGACTAGAGGTGCCACAGGGCTGTGAGGGATGGGTCACTGGGAGCGCAGCTAAGGATCGGTACTTCAGTCTCCTGCCTCTTTAAACCAAAGGAGCTTCTTGTTACTTGTTCTACATATTAGGATTCTTACATGTGATTTGATTTGGAGAGTTGAAAGGTAGGAGGTCTGTTACTCAAAAAATACTTGAAATTTACTGATGTAAACAGTTTCAAAATTTGGCTTTCAAGTCTTTGAAGTTAACTTTGAAAAAGGCTATTTTATGTATTTTTCCTGCAATAAAAATTATTTCTGTGGTACTTACAAAAAAATAATTAACATTTATTGAGCACTTACTGTGTGTCAGATAGCATTCTAAGCCCTTTACATATATTACCTTACTTAATTCTCACAACAGCCCAATGTGGTAATCACCCATATGGAAACTGAGTCACAGAAATGTTGAATAACTTTTCCAAAGTACATAACTAACAAATAATGGGCAGGCCAGGGTACAGACTCAAGAAGTTTGGCTTCAGAGACTCCACTCTTAAACAATACACTATACTAACTTATCTGTCTCAAAATGTTTAGGTAGGGAATTACTTTTATTAAAATTGAAGAAATACAGTACCCAGTCATCCACACAGATTATTTTTATTTTGAATTGTTTATAGCAGTAATTCTCAAATTCTGCCATGGAACCTTCACATTCTATGGAAGACCTGCTCGGTTATCTTTTTTCAGTCATGGGACTGCTATCTCAAGATCTCTCCTGCCTATCTGCTTTTCCCTGACACAGCAGCCTGTAAGCCAATATCCCTAGGTTCAGATCCCACATCTACCTTGGAACAGCTAGTAACTTTAAATGTCTGCGCAAATATTTTATTATGAAATCTGGATAATCATAACTAATCTTGCAGTCAAGATTAGAAATAATGTGTGTAAATTACATAACTCAATGCATAACACTCAGCAAGACTCAAAAATTATCGTTATCATAGTTATTAATAATACAGTTGCTGAAGAGCTCTTCTCCCGTTTATATTTCTGATATCCTATGAAAATGATCTTTGACAGGAGAATGGGCACTTTTATCTTATCAGGGCTTGCACAAGAAAATACGGTTTTTGTTCCCTTTTACAATATACTATAAAATTAGGGTGTCTTTAAGTTTATTTGGTAATATAAAACAGTAAGCCTCCTCATCTGAGCAGTTTATTTGGTCAGTAAATATTTGAGTGCCTACCATGTGCCAGGCGATTTGATAGAAAGCATTACTAAGAAAATGACTTTTAAGTAAAGACCTGGAAAGGGCAAGGGAGCAAAGCTGTGCAGTTTTGGGGGGAAGGAGTGTTCCAGATGAGATCTATAAGGCAGCAGTGTGGCATATTCAAGATCAACAAAGGGGCCAGTGTGGTTAGAGCACCGTAAGGCCAGAGGGAGGCTAGCCAGGAGGTAGGAGGGTAGGGAAGAGAAGCCCAGTAGATCATTGTAATTGCTTTGGCTTTTGTGGATTTAGGAAGCTTTTAGAGGGCTTCAAACAGAGTGGTGATAAGTTCTGACTTAAAGATTTAACAGTAACAGTTTGGTTGCTCTGTAAACAAGAGACTGAAAATGTGTAATGGGCGGAAACGAGAAATTTCAGAGGATATTGTAAATTCAAGGTAAAGACAAGGATGTTTCAGACAGAATGGTAGAGTGAAGTTTGTGAGAAGAGGTCAGATTTGAGGATATGTATTTAAATTCGAGCTGGCAGGATTTGCTAATGATTGAATTTGGGGTGTCTGGAAAAGAGGATTCAGATTTGACTCACATTGTATGTCGGGATCTGTTGTTTCCTGAGGGAGCTGATACGTGGTTTTTTATTGTAGTCCCCACCCCCTAGCACAGTGATACATGGATAGGCACCAAGTGAATATATATTTCATGAGTGGAGTGAGTGAGTGAAAAAGAACCATGCACTTCCTACCCTTTTTTTGTTTGTTAAATGTCCCTTGTTAAAAATCAAACCACTTTTAAATATTGAAAGCAAATGGACACCTCTGCATTTTATCCACGCATCATTTCGTGACTAGATTTTGCCATTATAAATGCTTTTCTTATTTTTTAATTTGCTTTCTTATATTTTAATGTTTGGGGTTTTTTTCCTTAGATACTAGCAGTAGTCAACCAAAGCCTTTCAGACGAGTAAGACTTCAGACAACATTGAGACAAGGTGTCCGTGGTCGTCAGTTTAACAGACAGAGAGGTAAATTTCTGACATATTGATTACATGATAGGATGTAGGATAGTAATAAATGGAACAAGTTTTCTAATCCTTAAGCTTCTAACTTGTATCTAGTTTTTTTTAATGTTCCTAGGATTGATTAAATAATTACACATTGAGCATGTAATGTTTACTAATCTGTATGCTTCTTGTAGAAAGATTTGTAAACTATAGGTATATAATGAATATGTGCTTATATTTCATATGTATTCATTTCTTCCTTGAATTCAAAATTAGATTTGAGGAAGCCAAAGTGTTACAGTACTAGATAGTCATTTGTTACATCTCTTCCTGTTGTTATACTTTTTACACAACAGAATCAAGCTTTGTGACTTTAGTTAAAAATTAAGAATTTTAATATCTGTGTTTTCTAATGTAACCCTTAGAGATTGTATTCATGCCATGAAAACATTAATCTAATTGTAATAATTTTCAACTGAAGATGTGTGAAATGTCTAACAGTTTTATATCTATATACCTAGATATTTGATATTGAAAGCAATTTTATAGTGACCTAGGGTAAGTGAATACTCCACTTTTGAGCTAACTTCTTAAAAGATGCATTCAGTTTGGTTATTTTTTTCTCTTATAGGTGTGAGCCATGCAATGGGAGGGAGAGGAGGAATAAATAGAGGCAATATTAATTAAATGTCCTGTAAACTGTAATAATTGTGAATAAGATTCTCAAGCCTGTTTTAGTGTAATGATTGTCGAGATTAAAAACATTTTTGTATTTAAATTGTTATGCTTCTCTCAACATTCTTTATTAATAAAATTTATTTCAGTGTCAAAATTTTTCATTCTTCATTTAATTAGTTGACTCTTCCTTTGCCCGTGGGTCTAAGGACAGTTGTACCAGACATTGGATAAGCTCCGCCCAGAACGAGTAGTAATGACTCTTGCTGTTCTGCTGGGTTCATCGACATTATAGTATTGATCTAAATAGAAGAGAAATCATTTTTTAATTAAAAAGAAAACAAAATACCTCAACTTAAAAATAGTTTGTGTTGACTATTATACTCAAAGATAGTGTTTATCATTTTAATATCAGAAATGTTTGTATTAATTTGAACTTTATGACAAAAACAGTTGCCTCGAGAGATTGACCTTTCACCAGCTTTCTGTAAAATTAGGTTTGACTCTCCTTTTTCAGAGTAAGAGTTTGAGGAAAAACTAAGTTTAAAAAATAATAATTCACTTCAGTTTTACCCTTTAAAAATCTTTTTGACATCATTTTTATAGGTAGAATAATTTAGATTTCTGTATTTTTCAAAGTGTCCCAGGTAACATAATTTAATTTTTATTAATTAAAAATAATTAATTTCTCAAGAACCTCTTTGTGGCCTTTGGGACTTGTGTAATGATGCAAATCAGTAATATTTTGTGTCACCCAAGACCTCTGTTAAATGCCACAGGTAATGTAGAATATTGTTCTTAGTAGCAGTTTTACTCAAGTAATTGGATAATTTCTCATAAGTCTTTAACCTCATGAAGGATAGTGCAGAATAGAATTGTAGCCTATTCAGTTTAATTGAAAGTAAAGTGAAAATCTAAACTTTCTCTTCTTCAGAGCAATTAGAATTAAGTATTAGAGTTTAACTTCACACCTTTAGTCACCACTGAACACTGGTTTTTGCTTTGATTATATTCATATTTTAGAGATTAGAGCACATCCGTAAGAAGCTAAGAAGTTGCTTAATAACTTACTCCTAGAAAAGGTGTAGTAATCATAGCCTTCCGGTTTTCTGATGTTGGGCAGTGCGATAGCTGAAGTCACCACACTTGGAAATCCTCTCCACTGTAAACTCATTTTAACTTCATTATGGAGGAAACCTGTAGATTTAAAGATACCAGCCTGAAAGCAAAGTACTGTAGGGAAGAGCAGCCGCTAGAGTCTGACGGACCTGGGTTTGAATCCCAGTTTGGTCACTGAGTAGCTCTGTTATGGTGGGTTAGCTATTAACTTAGGTGCCTCAGTTTTTGCCCCCCTCTGACATGGTGCAAATACCTACCTGTTAGGACTCTGCTGAGGTTTATAGATTTGTGTGTAATGTTCTTGGTAAGAGGTACTTGATAAATGGTATTTATTCCAAATAACAAACCTGAATAAATTGCATTCTTTACTCACAAAAAAAAAAAACTATATAGATAGATAGATCTGGTCATTCACTGAGGCAAATTGATGTTTTGAATCAGAGAGCTTTAAGTTATTGGGGCTATTTAGTCACTATATTCAATAAGCTTCATTCTGTAAGATAAACTGTATTACATCTACTTCATGTGTAAGAATTTTTAACACAGTAAGAAATATTACCTTTGTCTTGGTAAGAGACTCTGACGGGTGAATAGTGAATTCTGATGGTGTGTGTTTGAGAAGGTCCTATGGCATGTTCAAAGCGACGTCTCCTAACCTGTGTTGTTTCTCTGTACACTGAATAATTGATAGCAGGCCTTCTTCCAGGGCACTTTTTGATGGGTTCCTGTTTATAAATATACTGCTGAATGCCGCCACCTATTATGTATTAGAAAATCACATGTGATAAGAAAATTAAGTGTAAACCCCCAGAAAGGTGGAAAAGAGCTTTTACAAGGTAGAGGAAAAGATCAGTGTTTCTCATATATGTCCAGACATTAATAATGGCTATTAGTCAAGGGTATTATAAAATAATGGCCAAGTGCTGAAATACATGTTGAGTGAATAAAACCAACAAATTGCCTAGTTATATATTTAACTTTGTTTGAAATTAAATGACCTCTATATTAATGACCTGAAAATTCAGGTGAAATTGTAATTTGCATGCTGAGAGCTCTAAATACTTTTTACTGTCCTCAGTTTTTTCATTAAAAATAATTTCACTCCAGCCATTAAACATCTTTGACCGTAAACCCAGTAATAAATGAAAATATTAAATAAAATTAGGCAGATCAGTTCTTAGAAGTTTTGTAATTTATCAATTATTGTAACACATACCTCTCTTGAAAAAATACACAGATTCAGGTCTGTTCTTGTATTTGGCTATTGAGAGAGCTGCCACTATTTTTCCATTTAGTCCTCCAAATCCTTTTACAATTTGTTTGGGGTACCCTGGATCTTTTATATCATTGGTGAAACGCCAGTACTGGGAATCCTGATGATTTAACAGAGGAAATGGTGTTAACAGCTTCGGAATAAAAAAGTTTGGGATTCATTCCTAGATGTATATATAGGGAGAAGGTTTTAACTTTGTTAAGTGAATAAATTGGCCTTTAATGTTACCAGATTGTTAGCTTTTTATTAAATTTTGATGATAGAATAGTTTAATAAAATATGGAGACCCTTCTGAAGTGGAGGGTAAGCTGATTTATGCTCTTAGGATCAAGAATAGCTAGTTGCTGATTTCTCTCAGAAAGATATTTTTCTTACCTTAAAGAAGAAAGTTTTTCCTTCACAGTTGCATCTAGTAAAAACAGTATCAATGGGGGAGGGAATACCCCAAACTTCAGTAATTTTACGAGGTGGAGATGGTGGATTGAATGGACTCAGCATCCAGAAATAATGACCTAAAATTGAAAGTGATAGATCAGCCTCCAAACTGAATGAATACTATAACTTACTCCAAAAGAAACCAAAATGAAAAATATGTTAACACACATTACATGACAAGTTTAGTCAACACTGTGAGGATTAGTACAGAAGTTAGTATTTGAATATTTCTGAGAGTAGGTATTTCTCAGGTCTGAAGTTCAGCATAGCCTTTGAAATATTTTAGTTTTCCAGTTTCTCTAGAAAGATCCTTCTGGCTCTGTGACTTACAGCAGGGCACTTATCTCCGTTTCTTTATCTTTTAAAATTAAGGACTTATAATTCAGTGACTGCTAATATCTCTTTAGCCTCTACCATGGTAGTGTATGATTTGTTTCCTTTCAGATTTAATCTAAATATAAGAGGACTGGACCAGCAGATGGTACAGCAGAGAAGTAACATGAAGTAACTGCTGTTCTCCTGTTAGGTTACCACGGGATGTAACACTGTTGAATGCATTGCAATCAAGATGTTATTTTCATGTAAAATAGAGCAGGGAATACAAATACAAATCTGGGTGTCATATCATTTGATAGGAAATTAAAATTTGAACTACCTTTTAATTACTAATGGAAAGAAAAAATTTAGTATCAGTTCAAGCTCTCTTTTTTTTTTAAATTTTATTTTATTATGTTAGTCACCACACAAGCTCTCTGTTTTATTTGTTACTCTAATGTGTTTAATTCTGTTAATCCTGTATTTTGGTAATTACTTTCAGGTTCCCATAATATTGTGTGAAGAAAGTTCAGTTAGGCTCCCCTTCGGAAAGCTCAACCCAAACTTCCACTCTCCTTTGGTTCTCATAAATGCCAAGAATAAAATGATGGGCAGAAGAAATATGTGCATAGCTCACCTCGAAATGCAACCAGTGTTCCATTGCGCAAAGTAGTCAGTCCATCTACTGGCTTACCGTTGCATAAATTAGTCTCATCTAAAACAAAAAATTAAGCCGATACAAAAGAAAATGAGAAAAGTGTTCATGTTTTCAAATCCTCCCACAGGGCTGTTTCCTCTGTTCACCTTTTCCTAAGCTCTTGAAGGGGCTAGTGGGATGTATGCATATTTCAGAAATGAAAAAGAAGAGCTATATTTCCTAATTGTTTTACTTAAAGGTGATATTTTTCAAAAGGTAATCTATAAAATTTGGAATGGGCCAGGTTACCTGATCTTCATGTAAATTAGATAATTATTGGATGTTTGATCCCAACACAAAACTCCATTTTTCAGTTCTGATTGCCCTTTGGAATTGGTTTGGAAAAGAGAATAATATTGCAGATTTTTGCTTTGCATTGTACTCTTGTAAGGATACACTCCCAACTAAATTTTTTTGACATTCTGTACACCATCTCTGCATATAGACACAAATGCACTAAATTCCTTATTATTCGATTTTCCGAAGACCAAATAATCTTACTGTGATTACTCGTCTGCTTCCCTACGGAGAAGCTGTAAAACCCCACAAGTTAACAAGTTCAGGGTTCTAGATAATATATCAATAGTGTGATACTAACTCAGAACATTCTGGCTCAGATAAATTTAAGTTAACATTACCAATTTTAAAACTGGAAGTAACATGCTTATTACCTGAAAGCATGGGATTGATGGCGAGGTCTTGATTGGATCCTCTCACCAATATATCAGGGGGCCTGGGGATCATGTGAGGTTTTTCTCCAGCAATATCTGCATCTTTATTTGGATTTACTTCAACTTTTTCTGAGTTAAGTCTTTGGCTGGGGCTGGTGGTAGTTTGGGGCATGGCTTCCACCGAAGAGGTAGGGTGTAATTTTGGCATTGTCGATGTAGTCATCTTTGGGGGAGTTGCTGTAGTCTTTGGTTTTCTCACTTTAGGTATTGTGTTTGGCTTTTTGGTAGAAGTGGGCCTTTTTGGTGCTTTGGTTGGCTTTCGGGGTTTAGAAGTTGACACTTTAGGATTCGTGGTTGTATCTTTTCGCACAGCTGTGGTTTCTTTGGGTTTATTCACAGCCTTTGGCGTGGGTTCTGCAGGAAACTCAGGAATTGATTCAGCAGGATTCTTGGGAGTAGTGGGAGGCTCCATGGTGGTAGTTGTAGTAGAGGCCTCTGAGATGGTTGGAGCAGGTGTCTCAAGAGAAGCTGGAGCAGGCTCCTTGGGGACCTTCGGGGTGGGCTCTTTGGGAGCAGTGGGTGCAGGCTCCTTGGGGGCA